AACGTTTGATAGCTTTAGGTTACATGTGTCAGCAGTAATTATATATATATATATATATATATATATATATATATATATATATATATATATATATATATATATATATATATATATAATCGTAGTGTCACGGTGCCCTGTGTTATTGTGTTATTTACTGTGTGGTGATTGCAATGTTTGGGACCTATGTTCTAGGGGTTATTGAGAGCACTGGGGTCATTTGCAACAGTGTGTGCAGTATTCTAATACTTGGAAATTAGAGTACTTGCCGTGTGTGTTATTGCAAAGGGGTTGATATTTGATGGTGATTGTTGCTAGTGTTGAGCATCACCGTATGTGATTGCAGTTCAGTAAAGCCATTGTGGGGCAGTGTTCTAGAGGGTTCATGTCTTGTATGTTATTTTACTAAATTCTTTTGTGTTGTCATTGCAATCGGATTGTAACGTAAATCACTGTGATTTGTTAGTGTGATTTGTCATTGTCGTGGGTGAACTCGGCTGTAGACGAGTACTTGGGTACACATATATTCTCCTGGTTATCTGGTAGGACATCGAAGTCCAGTATTCAGTGAGGTGATTGCGAGGCAATTAATATAACGTAACCAAGGGAACGCCCATTGCTTTAAGAGAATTGTTCTTTGACAATTTGAGTCACGTAGAATACGTTTGGGTTAATTTACTTTCCTGCAAGCAGCTACAGTAGTCTCAAGGAGCCTAGCCATCAGCCAGATAAGAATTAGGGCTGGTGTCTAGCTGTCATTGATAGTGTCACAGGAAGTATTTCGAGTAACGTCATTGACATTTTGTTTTGTTTTGTTGTTGTAGTTAGTACTTTATTGAATAAACTAAGTTGTTATGGTTAACACTGTCTTTTCGTTACACCCCACACATTATAATTGTTATGCAAGTGTTCTTCACACTCGACTAATAAAATTGAGACTGATTCTGAGCTTTGGACCAAATATACGGCACCACACAACAATAAATTATTGTTGTGAGAGCCTAGGACCTACTCGTAAGATTCGCTTTGGCGATTGGCGAAGGTCGACGAATAAAGAGGATGGGATTTAAATTTTTCATTGGGGTCTCGGCGTTTGCTCGCGCCTAGTCAATTGTTCATACATGGTCCCAAAGTGAGGAATGAGCTGCTTACTACACTGGTGTGTTAGCTAAGCAAGTCCTTCCTCAGGCGACCTAACTGAATATCACGACAGAAATAAAGGTTAAAGAATAAAGAAAATTCTTAGAAATTTTCCGAGCTCAATTCCTCATATCAATTTCATTTTATTCCAAACCACTTAAAACTCTCACAATATATATATATATATATATATATATATATATATATATATATATATATATATATATATATATATATATATATATATATATATATATATATATATATATATATTTTAGATGAATAGGAAAACCAGGGATATACTGAACATCTTGTATCAGAATCTTTACTTTAAAAAACATAACGTTTCGAATACTTCTCGTATTCATCATCAGATCTAAAAGAAAAAACAGAAATTACAATCAAATAGCTGGCAAACAAAGAACTCATACTGAATATAATTGCCTATCAAAGAAAGGAAAATGCTTAAAAAACAAAACACTTAAGCGCACTTAAAGTGATCAATACAAATAAAACTTAATATATATATTATATCTATATATATATATATATATATATATATATATATATATATATATATATATATATAAGGCACAACTCTCCTAAACACGAGAGTGAAGTATACAACTTTAGAAACACTTTCCCACCAGGACACTCGAACCCTAGCCAGCACAGAAGCCTTCCAGCAACTGGCATAACAGGTACGCTTTAACCCGCTCCACCACCTGCTCAGACCCCTAAAAGAGATGGTAATTTCGGAGTATTTAAATACCCCAAAGATCATCACCTCCCAAGAGCACTAGAGCAAGTGAGGGGTCATTTATACGTTTATTTCATCAAGTCCCTGTTAATATGGGAGAACACTGTGTCTATGAACTTAAGGCACAACTCTCCTAAACACGAGAGTGAAGTATACAACTTTAGAACACTTTCCCACCAGGAGACTCGAACCCTAGCCAGCACAGAAGCCTTCCAGCAACTGGCATAACAGGTACGCCTTAACCCGCTCCACCACCTGCTCAGACCCCTAAAAGAGATGGTAATTTCGGAGTATTTAAATACCCCAAAGATCATCACCTCCCAAGAGCACTAGAGCAAGTGAGGGGTCATTTATACGTTTATTTCATCAAGTCCCTGTTAATATGGGAGAACACTGTGTCTATGAACTTAAGGCACAAACTCTCCTAAACACGAGAGTGAAGTATACAACTTTAGAACACTTTCCCACCAGGAGACTCGAACCCTAGCCAGCACAGAAGCCTTCCAGCAACTGGCATAACAGGTACGCCTTAACCCGCTCCACCACCTGCTCAGACCCCTAAAAGAGATGGTAATTTCGGAGTATTTAAATACCCCAAAGATCATCACCTCCCAAGAGCACTAGAGCAAGTGAGGGGTCATTTATACGTTTATTTCATCAAGTCTCTGTTAATATGGGAGAACACTGTGTCTATGAACTTAAGGCACAACTCTCCTAAACACGAGAGTGAAGTATACAACTTTAGAACACTTTCCCACCAGGAGAAAGGGGTATTTAAATATTCAAATTACCATCTCTTTTAGGGGTCTGAGCAGGTGGTGGAGCGGGTTAAGGCGTACCTGTTATGCCAGTTGCTGGAAGGCTTCTGTGCTGGCTGGGGTTCGAGTCTCCTGGTGGGAAAGTGTTCTAAAGTTGTATACTTCACTCTCGTGTTTAGGAGAGTTGTGCCTTAAGTTCATAGACACAGTGTTCTCCCATATTAACAGGGACTTGATGAAATAAACGTATAAATGACCCCTCACTTGCTCTAGTGCTCTTGGGAGGTGATGATCTTTGGGGTATTTAAATACTCCGAAATTACCATCTCTTTTAGGGGTCTGAGCAGGTGGTGGAGCGGGTTAAGGCGTACCTGTTATGCCAGTTGCTGGAAGGCTTCTGTGCTGGCTAGGGTTCGAGTCTCCTGGTGGGAAAGTGTTCTAAAGTTGTATACTTCACTCTCGTGTTTAGGAGAGTTGTGCCTTAAGTTCATAGACACAGTGTTCTCCCATATTAACAGGGACTTGATGAAATAAACGTATAAATGACCCCTCACTTGCTCTAGTGCTCTTGGGAGGTGATGATCTTTGGGGTATTTAAATACTCCGAAATTACCATCTCTTTTAGGGGTCTGAGCAGGTGGTGGAGCGGGTTAAGGCGTACCTGTTATGCCAGTTGCTGGAAGGCTTCTGTGCTGGCTAGGGTTCGAGTCTCCTGGTGGGAAAGTGTTCTAAAGTTGTATACTTCACTCTCGTGTTTAGGAGAGTTGTGCCTTATATATATATATATATATATATATCTATATATATATATATATATATATATATATATATATATATATATATATATATATATATATATATATATAATCTTTCATTATTCTTTCTTCTTTTTGATAAGGAGGTCGGTAGTCTTCTTGTTTTTGTAGAATAGGATATTTTTTAGTTAGGAATAATGCTTTTTACTCCTTTACGGATTATTTCATTCATTATTCTTTCTACTTTTTTTATGTTCACTGTGCATGGTTGATTTGTAATATAATTTTATTGGAGGTGTTGTGGTTTCTGTTCTAGGCTCTGGATTATACCATCGGTTCAAGTGACTTTTTATAGCAGCGTTTATTTCCGTGTTGCTTTATCCGTTGTTCACCAATACCTGTGTTGTTCTTTCAAACTCTTTACTCGCGCTGCTCCATTCGGAGCAGTGGGTAAGCGCTCGACGAATATAGGCATTGAGAACACTGGCTTTGTATTTTTGGGGGCACTCACTTCTACCGTTCAGGCATAATCCTATGTTGGTAGGCTTAGTATATACGTTGGTGCTTAAAGAGTAACAAAAACAGGAACCTCTTTAAGTACCAGCGTATATACTTAGCCTACCAACATAGGATTATGCCTGAACGGTAAAAGTGAGTGCCCCCAAAGATACAAAGTTAGTGTTTTCAATGCTTATATTCGTCGAGCGCTTACCCACTGCTCCGAATGCAGCAGCGCGAGTAAAGAGTTTGAAAGAACAACACAGGTATTGGTGAACAACGGATATAGCAACACGGAAATAAACGCTGCTATAAGAAGACACTTGAACCGATGGTATAATCCTAAACCTAGAACAGAAACCACAATACCTCCAATAAAATTATATTACAAATCAACCATGCACAGTGAACATAAAAAAAGAATACTGAAAGAAATAATCCGTTAAGGAGTAAAAAGTATTACTCCTAACTAAAAAATAGACCTGATCATATTCTACAAAACCAAGATTGCCGACCTCCTTATCAAAAACAGCCCGAAGTCGACGGAGAATCCTTTACAGCAGTCAGTCGTTGTATACATGTACACTTACCCCCCCCCAAGGATGTAACCTTCAATCTAAGTACATAGGTATGACTTCGACCAAGCTGACGAGGCATTTGACATGTCATCTTCAATCCGGAGCCGCCAGAAATCACATGAAACAAGCCCATGACATCACCCTAACAAGAGAAATGTTGAACAAAAATACCTATATAATAGACAAAACTCGAGATGTCAAAAGATTACAAATTCTTGAAGCAATCCACATAAAAGTAGAACAACCTACCATAAATACTCAAATTATGGCACTATTTACTCTACCCACCATGAGAGTAAGAACAAGACCGGAACGTCATGATGCCAACAGAGAAGACACTGCTCGACAAACAGCGCTCACTACGCTTGATTAATCTTTATATATATATATATATATATATATATTATATATATAGATATATATATATATATATATATATATATATATATATATATATATATACATAACTGCTTGCTTGTTGTAATAGGAAAAATTTACTAAAGCCTTCACTCACCCCAAACAACACAACTGTCAACTGCAGCAGCTTCATTATGGCTTCTGTTACAGTGGTGGACACGACTGCTGGGGTGGTGGAGGTGGACACGACTGGTGGGGTGGTGGAGGTGGACACGACTGGTGGGGTGGTGGAGGTGGACACGACTGGTGGGGTGGTGGAGGTGGACACGACTGCTGGGGTGGTGGAGGTGGACACGACTGGTGGGGTGGTGGAGGTGGACACGACTGCTGGGGTGGTGGAGGTGGACACGACTGCTGGGGTGGTGGAGGTGGACACGACTGGTGGGGTGGTGGAGGTGGACACGACTGCTGGGGTGGTGGAGGTGGACACGACTGCTGGGGTGGTGGAGGTGGACACGACTGGTGGGGTGGTGGAGGGGGTGGACACGACTGCTGGGGTGGTGGAGGTGGACACGACTGCTGGGGTGGTGGAGGTGGACACGACTGCTGGGGTGGTGGAGGTGGACACGACTGACCAGAGGCGGGAGTGCGGCAAATCTGGTGTTGGAAGACATATATTGTTGCCCCCCCCCCTTCAACAAACGAGTACAGCCCTCCCCGACTCCCCCCACCCACTACGCCCCCCCCCCCCTTCAACAAACCAGTACAGCCCTCCCCGACTCCCTCCCCCTCCCCCGACTTTCCAAGGTGACCTCTGACAACAGTTAGAGTTTCCCTGAACGGTGTTGTATATTAACCTGAGAGTGCTCACCTTACCTAATGATGCTTACCTCACAGTGTTTACCTAACAGTATCTAAGGTAAGTGTTTCTCTTACCCCAACGTTCTTACCTAACAGTGTCTAAGATAATTGTCTAAATTACCTCACAGTGCTTACCTAACAGTATCTAGGGGAAGTGTTTATCTTAAATCAACGTGTTTTGCCTAACAGTGTCTACGGTGTTTATCTTACCTAACAGTATCTACAGTGTTTATCTTACCTGACAGTATCTACAGTGTTTATCTTACCTAACAGTGCCTACGGTGTTTATCTTACCTAACAGTGCCTACGGTGTTTATCTTACCTAACGGTATCTACGGTGTTTATTTTACCTAACAGTGCCTACAGTGTTTATCTTACCCTAACAGTGCCTACGGTGTTTATCTTACCTAACAGTGTCTACGGTGTTTATCTTACCTAACAGTACCTACGGTGTGTATCTTACCTAACAGTGCCTACGGTGTTTATCTTACCTCCTCACAGTGCTTAAATAACAGTGTTGTTATTAAGTACTCACCTAGTAGTGCTTACAGGGGTTGAGTTTCGGCTCTTTGATCCAGCCTCTCAATTGTCAATCAACTGTTGAGCAGATTCCTGAAACTATTGGGCTCTATCATATCTACAGTTTAAACTGTGTAAGAAGTCAGCCTCCACCACATCACTGCCTAATGCATTCCATCTGCATACTACTCTTACACTGAAAATGTTCTTTCTAATGTCTCTGTGGATCATTTGGGTACTCAGTTTCCACCTGTGTTCCCTTGTTCGTGTACCTCCCGTGTTAAATAATCTGTCTGTATCTACCCTGTCAATTCCCCTAGTAACTTTCTATATTGTTATCATGTCTCTCCGAACTCTGCTGTCTTCGAGCGACGTGCGGTGCAATTCACGCAGCCTTTCCTCGTAACTCATACCTCTTAGTTTCGGAACTAATCTAGTGACATACCTTTGAACCTTCTCCAGCTTCGTTTTGTGCTTGAGAAGATATGGACTCAATGCTTAAACAACATATTCCAGGATTGGCCTTACATATGTATTATACAAAGATACAAGCATCTAAATGATTCCTTACACAAGTTTTTAATTGGCGGTTCTGATGTTAGGCAGCCTCGCATAAGCTGCTGATGTTATACTCCTGATGATGGATTCAGGAGACATCTTCGCCGTGATATCTACTCCTAGCACTTTCTCTCTGTCCGTTTCATGCAGGACTTTGTTCCCATTCGGTATCCAATGTCTGCCCGCCTGTTCCCTACACCTAGTTTCATTACCTTACATTTAGTTGGATTGAAAATAAGTAGCCTTTTGTTGGACCATTCCTGCAGTGAGCTCTAGGTCATCTTGCAACGTCTTGCTATCTTCCTTGGTCGTAATCTTCCTCAAAATGTTATCATCAACAGCCAACATTGAGAGGAACTTAATGTTCCCCGTTTCCCCTAGTGCTGGGGTCTCCAAACTTTTCAATGTAAGGGCCACATTATATATTTCCCATATTTATGCGGGCCGGAGGAATAAAAAATGAATTCCTTCAAAACAGCAACACTGTCTCTACATATTATGCATAAAGCTTTATCATTTGCTATCACAAAAAAGTACTTTATCTTCCATTCGTCATTGAACCGACGGCACTCACTGTCCACTTTTCTTTTCTTTATCTTTTTCCATATCTGAAAAACATAAGGGTAGAATAATGAAATAAATTCTACAGGAAAAAAACAGCTTGTATGTGGTGTTAAAAAGCATAGCATATTATTATAAGTGGTAAATATTATGGCAACAGCTTTCGTTGATAAACTTAATGGTTACCATTTTAAAACTATTTTAAACATGCAATATTTTTGGCTACAATAGTATTATTGCTATTTTGTATAACTAAGATAAAGGCATTGTCAATGTACAGAGAAAAGAATATTGTACAGTGTTGTGTCCTGAAAACGGAAGCAGCGAAGCCCCACTCGCCCTCCCATCCCCACAATATACAGTTATACACAACTGATTGGTTGTAATGCACAACACATACCTACCAGTATTAGTATCTGGTGCGTCACACTATCGAGAGAGAGGAAAACTGACTCGGGTTGAGCGCCACCAGTCAGCAGCCCCAGCTTTGAATAATTCTGCGATGCCATTCGACGATAATTATTTTTTCAAGGCCACCACACAGGGATTTGTTTGGAGGGCCGGATGAAATTATGTGGCGGGCCGGATGTGGCCCGCGGGCCATAGTTTGGAGACCCCTGCTCTAGCAGATCATTTACATACATCAGCACCAGGAAAGGTCCAAGATTGGTGTCACCAGTGGAGTACCATAGGCTATATATGAAGGATATATTTATATTCTATAGATATAAATATATCCATAGGCTATATATATATATGAAGGATATATATAAATCCTGAGGATATAAATATAACCGTATAAACTATATATGTCCCACAGAGCAGCCTGTGAGTCTCCACTGGTGACGCCTCGCCAGTCTGAGACCTCACCC